GAAAAGTTGTAAGAAGGCAAAAGATGTGTCGCTTCCAGTCTGTGACAAATAGAAACAGTCAAGCCTCTTCTTATCTTAATTAAAAATGTACGAAAAGACAAACTGAAATATTATATTTTAGTATGTTAATGTACAAAGCATTTTCTTCATTATTCTATGATAAAACAAGTCTAACAAGCATTATTACAACATATATTATCATTTTTTTGTATGCAATCGGGAAATAGTGACTACGACTGTATATACGGGTTGAGAGTGTTACAGCACCTAAGGAGGTGCTGCTAGTTCCGTGCTAGATTATGGGCTTACTTACGGAGTTCGATGCCAAATATTTGTTTTGAGTATACCGATCTGAGACTGTAAGTCCAGTTACGGGGTAAACAAAGAGATACAGCCCCGTAAATGATTTTGAGTATGCGTCCCCAGGTCACTGTTTCTAAAGAGGTTACATTGCACCAATTCAGTGATACTAGTCCTGTGGCGTATGGTGCTGCTGCCTCTTTGTACAAGATTGGACCAATACAGTCAGATACCGGCGAGCTAACTTATAACGATGGAGAAAGGACTAATAATCTGAACAGATATTACCAGTCAGTTATCATCACTGAAAATTTAAACATGATACCTGAGGCACCGACTATATACAAAGATAGTGAAGAAAATAGATTATGCAAGATAGTAGTGACTAGTAATGGTGTAATTAAACAAATAAACAAACTAAAACCTAACAAGTCACCAGGTCCCGATGAGATATTTGCCAGAGTATTAAAGGAATGTAAGGAAGAGCTTGGTATGCCCTTAGCAAATTTGTTTAACATGTCATTAAAAATGGGTGTAGTACCAGAATCCTGGAGGATAGCTAATGTAATACTAATTTTCAAGAAGGGAGATAGATCAATATCCTCTAATTACCGTCCAATCAGTTTAACATCAATTGTAGGCAAGTTACTGGAAGCAATAATTTCAAACTCTATTCGAAATCACCTGGAGAGGCACGGGTTGATCAATGATTCCCAATGAGGCTTCTAAAGTGGGAGTTCCTGTCTGAGAAATCTATTAACGTTCTTTACAACTGTTTTCGAATCAGTGAATGATGGACACGATTATGATGTGGTATATCTTGACTTTAGCAAAGCCTTCAACAGAGTCCCCCACGAGAGACTGATACAAAAAGTGGAGGCTCATGGAATTGTAGGAGATATTCTAAAATGGATTAGGCCGTGGTTACAGGACAGGAAACAGAGAGTAAGCATTAACGTCACTAAATCCGATTGGGGTAACGTCACTAGTGGAGTGCCCCAATGCCCAGTACTGGGACCAATTCAATTCAAATTCAATATTTATTCCTTGATAGAGGAAGCGGGATCCTAGTTACTGGAACAACTTCTATTTATTATATACATAAACGACATAGATATAGGCGTAGACAGCACTATAAGTAAATTTGCTGGCTACACTGAAATAGGCCGTGTAATTAAATCTGACGAGGACTCTGCAAAACAACAGGAAGATCTAAACAAATTTTTCTCTTGGTCTGAAAAATGGCAGATGAAATTTAATGTGGACAAATTAATGTAAAGTACTTAGTCAAAGAGATGTAAATAGAGAAACTAGAAATCAGATGAACAATGTTGTTATAGAGAAATCCGACTCTGAGAAAGACTTAGGAGTAATGTTAAGTAGGAATCTTAGCCCAAGACAACAATGTGTATTTGCTCGAAACAAGGCTAACAAGTACTTGGGTTCATACAAAGGAGTGTTAGTTGCAAGAAATATTGAGGTTAGAATGGATATAGAATCCTTAGAAAGAATTCAAACGAAAATAACATGATTTATCCCGGGCATTAGGAACCCTGAGTTAAAGCATCTTAATTTGCACTCCCTTGAGAGACGTAAAGTGAGGGGCGATTATGATTGAGGTGTATAAATGGAAGTCAGGGCTAAACAAAGGTGATAAACCAAAGGTACTCAAACTATCTAACCAGGAGCGAACTCATAGCGATGGTTTTAAATTAGGCAAATTTAAATTTAGGAGCGAGATAGGTAAACACTGGTTTGGAAATCGAGTAGTGGATGAGTGGAAAAAGTTACCAAACTTCAACATTAACTCAAATATGCTGGATAGCTTCAAATACACTGTAGGTTGGCGGATACATGAGCAATAAGGGATGGGTGTAAACGGGACTGCCCAGTATGGGCCAATAGGCCCGCTGCAGTTTCCTCCATTTTCTCTTCTTGTGTATGACTTATGGAGGACAGTAGATTAGTAATGGCTAAGGCCAAGGTAGCACCGATTAAACCATTAACTTTTCTTAGAATGGAATTAACGGCAGTTCTACCTGCCGCTCACATATCAGTATTTATTCAGGAGGTCTATGAATATGAGCTTTTTGTGCAAACAACTTATATATGGACCGACAACCAGATAGCATTACGATAGTGTTCTTATCATTCACAGACAGCCACGAATCCAACCCCACAACCGAAAACAAATCACTGTGTTACGGCCGTGATGACCGAGGCGTTGTCAGCGATTAAATTCAAAGCAGGGGTGCCAGAATATACAAAGCGGACCACAGAGAACCAGAGAGATGGATCTCTCATAATTTTGTATTGTAGGTGACTCGATTATTTACTAATTTAGAAGAAGCGCTGAAACACCTTTGCTTTTGAAGCTTAATAGTATATTATGCATTTACCGAAACGACCTATGCCTCGGTTGATGAAAGAATACCGGTACAAAATTTGCTGATACTGTACTTAACCATAGCTGTCAAGACGACATGCATGTGAATTCATTTATCATTTCTAGATCGACGCTGGTGGCGGCTGAAGCAAGCATGAATATTAAGCTCATATTGTAGGTTATGTATCTATGCTACTGTGCCGAGTAGCAACCTTGTATCTATGCTACTGTGCCGAGTAGCATTTATATATGTAATTACGTGGCACCACTGCACGTGTTATGTGGCAACATTGCCCCGAGGCTGCCATATGGCAAGGCAGTCTCAGTCTGACTCTGTGGGCCGTGCAAGGCACACGCAAGTCACCACTTGTATTTCTCCTATCCGTTAATAAATGGACTTCAGTGTTACCCGGTGTTTCCCTACCCATCACTGCCTTCTTCAGGGAACACTTGGAACCTTCACATATAAATAATGATCTGATAATATTTTGCAACAATATTCGACACAGACATATTGTGTTGGTTTAGCGGAATATCTAATAAATAATAATAATGGTTGCCCCTTGTGCAACGAGGATGGCGGGCCCAAGATCCACCAAGGCGTGAATTTGTTTATGGTGTAGAGCCTCTACATAGAAGCTGTCGCCAACACTACAACCACACCCTAACTTAACGAGCTGGGTGACCCAGTGTCAATGAATAGTCAGAAAAGACCGTACAACTCGCCAACTGCACTGGCTACCCATTACCCAGGAACACAATCTGTAAATCGAATAACATCCAGGTTCTCAATTACTTCTGGATAGACAGAGGCAAATGGCGTAAAGAAACTTGCCCATAGTTTTACCCTGCTCGGGGATCAAACCCTAGTCAGTTCGCTCGCGAGGCGAACATGCTTACCATTACACTAAAGGTCGGCTATTGTAGTATCTAATTACACACGCACACACACACACATATATGTATATATATATATATATATATATATATATATATATATATATATATATATATATATATATATATATATATATATATATATATATATATATATATATATATATATATATATATATATATATATATATATATATATATATATATATATATATATATAATAACTAATATACATTTAAACACATAAACTAACGCCCATTATAAAAGGTAGGGGGAGGGTCCCATAAGCTTGGTGGCCCTTTAGGGGCAATGCTGAGACAGTACTATTGCTGTGACATAAAACTTTTTGTTTGCGGTAAATTGGGGGAGTGTCGCTGTTACTGCACTAGAGCACCTTCACTTGCCTAACTGTAAAGAACCTGAGCGCTTACTTACATAGAACATAAGAATATACGGAGTCTGCAATAGGCCGGTTGGCCTGTGTGTGGCAGCTACAATCGAGAGTTACTACCACTCTCTATCATCCATGAATCTATCAAGCTTCCTTTTAAAACGTTCCAGCATTCCAGCACTTACTACAAAGTTGCTATGCTTGTTCCACTCGTCCACCACACTATTGGTGAAACAGTTTCTTCCTATGTCTCTCCTAAACCTAAACGTATCCAACTTAATTCCGTTGCTACGAGTCCTATACTGCTCGGATATTATAAGAACTTTATCTATAACTCCTTTATTGATTCCTTTCACCCACTTAAATACTTCTATCATATCTCCTCGCACTCTTCGTCTTTCTAGGGAATGCAAGTTTAGTTTCTTAAATGTGACTTTGCGGGAAGTAGGGAGCAGAAGTATACTCTCAGTCGCCGTATTCCTCAAACCTACAGTACTTACACACATGCAAATATGATTGTATCTCATGTATATAAACAGCCACACATGAGAGGAAACACACACACACACACACACTCACAAATATAAAACATTGGTGCTATACGCACAAGCATACATTCACTCAGAGGCAAAAAGAACGCTTAACCAGTACAGATAAAGTAAGAGAAAACACTTCTTATTGTCTTGAGAAAAGTCATACGTAGCGTTAAAGCTATATCCCCAAACGTTTCATAACTCCTAATTACTACAGCAAAATATGAATATCACGGTAAAGAATGAACTTCCTGGAGGACATTCATAACACAAATTGACAGATAAAAATGAATGTACGATAATGATAATGTCGTTAAAAAAATTGCTCAAACTTTGAACCCAACATGGAAAAAATAATAATATTTATTTAGTTAGTTTTCTAGGTAAACTAACTAATGACAGTGTTGACAGTTCCCTTCACTTCTTAAGCATTCTTTTGATGAAACTCGAAACCATCACTAAAATTTGAAATCATTTCTCTCAGTTTACTCACAATAGATGTATAATGTAGTGACGGTGATTGTGGTGGTGATGCTTTCACTATGACTCCCAGGGAGCGTCTCACATCGGAGCCATTCTGGCTTTCTTTATAAACAGAAGGCAGTAAGGTCGCGCTGACCCTTGACTTTTGCAAAGTGAGCTAAACTTAACCACGAGTTGATCCTAAGGGTCAATATATTCTTAGAATATATATATATATATTAATATATATATATATATATATATATATATATATATATATATATATATATATATATATATATATATATATATATACACATGTTGATTGTATGTAGAAGTCCGCGTGTTTATTGGGCTGATAAAATATATATGGATCCTCGTGTTTTGAAGCCGGATTTGGTAAAACGTTACGCTGACCACCTACGTGATATGGATAGTCCCCATTAGAGGTTCACGGCGCCATAAGCTCGTTGATCAGGCTTGGTGTGAAATATAACAGAGTCTAGGATTGCATTTAGTATCCTGGTGGTCCAGCGGTTAGCGTTCCCCGGTCACAGTCATGGGCTGGTGGGCCATGGGTTCGAATCATGGCGGGATGAGGTGTTGATTGTACACATATATATATATATATATATAAATATATATATATATATATATATATTTCATGTAAATCCACAATGAAAACGTGGATAAGATAAATCTTGATAAAATCACACGTCTTTATTCAAGACATCTTCAGAGGCAACTGGATTACATGGACAGAGAGAGGCTTAAATATACAGGGTCACCTAAAAACATGAGGTCAGGTCAAAATGATGACATCCACTAATCCCCACACCAACACACACGTAGAGGAGCTTAAGAGAAGGGTGGTGACGTGACTAGCCAAGTCAGGTCAGAAAAAAGGGACCCACAAAATAACTGTCATACATCTAGATCAAAGGTTTTCAAAGCATTTTTAACCTTGGGCCACTGACAAATAAATTTATGTAACATATTATCAGTTTTGAACTGACCATCACTAAGGTTTATTGATTTTAATTCCTTAATCAAACTAGCTTCAACAAGAAGTCTTTCTGTGACAAGATGATTTGAATACTTCTAAGCTTTTTTCCCAAGCAATGGGGTGATTATTATTCCTAACATGAACGAACAAGGCACTGCTTTCAGATACTGTTCTGATATTATACTTATGTTGTTTGATTCTGAGCTGCAGTGTTTTTCCTGTCTGTCCTACATAATTACAATTACATTTGCTACATGGAATACAATAAACACTTCCATTTACATTCAAACTTGGGCTATTCCTTATTAACATATTGGTAATGGTTGAGTCATACTTGAAACAACATTAATATTTAAGCCTCTCTCTGTCCATGTAATCCAGTTGCTCCTGAAGATGTCTTGAATAAAGACGAGTTATGCGTAATCTACGTTTCCATTTTCGCGTGATTTTATCAAGATATATATATATATATATATATATATATATATATATATATATATATATATATATATATATATATATATATATATATATATATATATATATATATGCAAGCAAATCAATTGTAGGTGCAAGTGTTATCTAGGTATATGTTGATAACCACGAGGAAAGAAAATGACTTTCAGTTTCAGTAATTCATATCTTAGTGGCATTACTCACCCCTCAAAAATGAATTACACAAAGGTACTTTGGGAATCCTGTGTTTTTTTTTTTCCTCGTAAGTTCATCAGCATATATATATATATATATATATATATATATATATATATATATATATATATATATATATATATATATATATATATATATATATATATATATATATATATATATATATATATATATATATATGTAATATTCAGAAATTTCAGTGTAATTTCAAACGCCGCGCCATTGGCGATACTGAGTTTTCAAGGTCGTCTGAGGGAAGAGAGCGCTCCCGCGCGAGAGGTTGTGGAACTAGGCCTATTTGAGATTAAATGTAATTTGCCGATTTAATAATGATGCGATTCATGAAGTTAAGGGACTATTATTGAATTTGAAATTATTATAGATCGTTTATCAGTCTGAATAATGTTACGGGTGTCCCAAGGAGTTATTAGTTAGGCGGAAAATATGTCACTTAGGCCTAAGCTAACGCCTTGAGAGGACAAGAGGCGGGCTAGGTCAGTCACGTGGAAGCATTCGGTCCAGCAAGACGTCCCTGCGCGTCCGTCACAGAAATAGTCACGTGGCCTAGTCACCTGTGTTGCACTATTGCAGTATAACAAGTAAGTCTCATTCGATCTCAGACAGGGTTTAGATAGGGCAGTGATAAAGTTAATAAGAGCTAACAATGAGTTCATTTCAGGGTTTCCGTCAGAACCCACTTGACTGCGAGATTGACTGCTGTTTGATAATTGAGGATTGGCGATTGTCGCCGTTGGACCGATCAGTGTAAGCCTGTCACTGTTTAGCGGGGTATCAAAGGATCTCTTGAGTGAATCTAGCCGTCTGGGTGCCCAGCTGACGACGTGACGATCGTTGGGGTCATCAGCTCTCCTCTACCTCGGCTCACAATACCACATATCTCAAACAGCTTAGTGAAACCCTTTTGCTAACGGGAAGCTAAAGCTTCTCTCAACTGTACAAGGTCGGATTGGCTCACTCCCTTCCGCTCGATGGATGTACTGGGGGTAAAGTGAAGCCAGCTGAGTGATACAGGGCCGCACACTGGGGCCAAGAGTCAGTGGAGTTTAGAGGTACACTTTCCAAGGTGGAGAAAGGCTGATTTGGACTTAAACTACGGGTGCCTGTTGGTTGTGCCTTAAACGACTACGGAGTGCAGGTGGAATCTGTGTGTGTGTTAGGTTGGGAAGCATGGTTCACGGGTATTGGTGGACTCAGTAACTTCTTAATAATAGTGATAATATTTTGGTGTGTACTTAATACTATTTTTTCAGTTACTAATGTATGCTGTGTGCATTTAATATTTCTTTATAATCTCAATCTCAGGTATAACCTTTGTTCCCCAGAGTAGTGTTTAAGTTAGGTTAGGAGGTGTGTATCTGTTGGGGTAATATAATTTTGTTGAGCGCCCTGAAGGCCTATTCAGGGTGGAGTTAATAAGCTCTGATTTTTATACCATTTTCTCAGTGCTGGATATAATTTTGGTGAGTGCCCTTAAGGCCTATTCATGGTAGAGTTATTAAGTTCTTATTTTTTTAATACCATTTTCTCAGTGATTGATATTTTGTTGAAAGCCCTTAAGGCCTGGTTCATGTGTGCAAGCAACATCTCTTAATACTTTAAACTCATTATCCTCTAATGAGGCATTGCCTGAGGTTCTAATAATTTCAACATCATGTATAACTTTTATTCCCCAGAGTAGTATTTTAAGTTCAGGTTAAGAAGTGAGCATATTGGTGTACCACTATTTGATTGTGTTTGTAGTGTTGGAGGGAATATAAGTGTAAACTTTACAGTGTGTCTCATTCATCCCAGTCACAAAGGCTATCCTTCCACAGGTCACGGACAATTCATTTTGTTTAGTAAAGTTAAGTGCTCTTGTGCTGGTTCGGGATTTCTCACTAAGGGGCGCTTCCACTGCAATTACCATCTAATAATCTTTAATAAACCCCAAGTCAAGTGAGAAATTAAAGTCCAGTAATTCCGACCGGTTACAAAAAAAAAAAAAAAAAAATATATATATATATATATATATATATATATATATATATATATATATATATATATATATATATATATATATATATATATATATATATATATATATATATATATATATATATATATATATATATATATATACTGATAACCACAAGGAAAGAAGAAAACACGAAGTTCCCAAGCGCTTTTCGTGTAATTCACATCTTCAGGGGTGAGTACAGACTAGAGAGAGTAATACAAATCAAGGTGTATATATACAGAGGAGGGTGAGACCAGGTCCACAATGGTCAGGTATTAGGTAATGACCCTACTAATCTTTAAATAGCACACAACGGTTGGTGGTCAGGTCAGATGGTCAAGTGACCCGGCCTTCTCACCTGATCACAAATCTTCTTAATTACAAAATTGTCCAGCTTGTACATGCCGTTACTCAAATTCATGTTGAATGCTTCGGTATGTTTAATAAGACTAGATTCTATGATGTTCCTACTATCAATTGAATTACATGGTAATATTGAGGAGGCATTATCCCAGTCAATGCAATGCTTGTTATCCCTCAAATGAACAAACAGAGCATTGGATTCCTGGCCTGTCCTAACACTGTATTTGTGTTGTTTAATTCTAGTTGCAAGATCTTTACCTGTCTGGCCTAAGTAAAACATATTACATTCCTTGCAAGGAACTTTATAAATGCAACCAATTGTGTTGTTGGGGGAGTTTTTGATTAACATTTGTTTAACAGTGCATGAGTTTTTAAATGCCACATTGACGTTCCAGGTTTTTAGCTGTGCAGGAATGTGTGAGAAATTTTTGTGAAATGGTAATATTAAGATATTCTTATGGTCATGGGTGGGCTTGGGGTCAGTTCTATAAAAAGTTTTCTTAGTAATGTTTAAGCATTTGTCTATGAAAGATCTAGGGTATTTAAGGTTTGAGCCAATATTATATATATATTTGTATTCCTCTGTATATATACACCTTGATTTGTATTACTCTCTCTAGTCTGTACTCACCCCTGAAGATGTGAAATACACGAAAGCGCTTGGGAACTTCGTGTTTTCTTCTTTCCTTGTGTTCCTTGTGGTTATCAGCATATACCTAGATCACGCGCACCTACAGTGATTTACTTGCATATATATATATATATATATATATATATATATATATATATATATATATATATATATATATATATATATATATATATAATTATATATATATATATATATATATATATATATATATATATATATATATATATATATATATATATATATATATATATATATATATATATATATATTCATGTAAATCCACAATGAGAACGAGGATAAGATAAATCTTGATAAAATCACAAGCACAACGGTGCTCCGTTGTTTCCCTTTTCCCCGTGTGATTTATATATATATATATATATA